TCAACCTTTTATTTTTATTCTCATTTAATTTATTTTTTCTTCTTACTTATTTTCTTTTCTTTCTATATTTTCTAATATTTATTTATAGAAAATCCTTTTTGTATTTATCTTGATTTATTATTCACTTGTTTTATCTCTTTTCATTTTATTTTGGATTTTTGTAATTTCGATTTTATTTCAATTTCATTTTTTAGTCGATGATTATCATACCCCAAAGTTTGACCCCTAGATTCCATTACCATTTTTGGAGCATCAAACATTGTTTCCTAACGCTAACCTTGTTTCAAGTTTGTTGTTGTTGAGATCCATCTGAATTAGGGTTTTGCACTTTGGGAATCAAGAAGATTATTGCTTGGTCAGTCAATGTTTTGGATTGATCATCACCAAATCAAGGTTCCCCTACATTTAAGGAGCTTATATTCAACAAGAATCAAGTGCTAATTAATCTCATTTCAATTCAATTGAAGTACAATTTCATCTACCCCCAAATTAGAGTTTTGTAAGGAAAAGTCAAATGTGCCTTTGACTTTTGATCCAAGCATGATCCCATGCCTTGGGATATGATTCAACATGTTCATATACATCCTTGGAGCCTATCTAGGATGCTTGAGAAATCCAAAGATGCAAATTTATTGAAGATCACACAGTTGAATTTACCTGATACAAAATTCATCTAACAAAGTCAACTCTTTGACTTTTAGGGTGTTTGGTTCAAATTGGAGCATCCAAGCCAAATTTCATCAAAATATGTTTAACCAATGAGTTTGATCATGAAGAAATCAAGATTTGAGAGATTTCTTGCAAAAGAAGGAAACTTGGATAACTTGAATTTTTTCTAAGTGTGGGAAAACCCCTAATTTTGGTACCAACTTTGAGAGGTCATAACTTTCAATCCACACATCCATTTTTTGATTTACAAAGATAAATTTAAAGATTTTCTCATGTAATACAAAAGTGTCCTAGTGACTCATGAGAAAAAGATGCTTAGATTTTGAGTTATAAAACTTCAAAGTTTGGAAAAATCTTTAAACATTTAGAAATTTTCAAGACAACTTTGTCATTTCAATTTTTAGCCAACTTCAAGGCCAGTTTTCATCATGATCCCTTTGGATTCAAGAATTTCACCAAATATGAAAGTTGTAGAGCACACTTAGGGCTTTTCAAAAAGTACAAGAACTCATCCATACCATTTTTGAGCTAGGAGTTTCGAAGGAGGAGAGTTAGCCCTCCAAACTTGAAGTTTTGGTCATTTTCATGCCAAGGACAAGTTGGAAGATCAAGCAAATCTGCAAACCCTTTAACTGAAAACCTTGAAACTTACATATCTACTTGTAATCAGAAGGTGGAACTACTTTTGGAGTCATTACACAAAGGTTTGAACCATAATTCAAGTTCCATACCATTTATCTAAGTTTTGGACATAAAAGTTGCAATGCCATTTTCAAAAAGCAACTTTAATCACAACTGGTTTTTCATGAGACCACAACTTATTCCATCTATAGAAGCAAGATCTAGAGTATCCAACCACTCAAGATCTCATTGTATTTTGCCTTAAAACCATGGAGAACCACCAAACACCAAGTTTGAATCCAACCAAACTAAGCAAACTAAGTGAGTCTTTAATTCTGTTTTTCTGCAAGACATTAGTAACTAATCTTTTCCTACAAATAGAGCATTCCATCATGCTTCAAAAGGGGGGAAAACCAGAGAAAAACACCCTTAAACCTCCAAAGATCAACATCTTGCAAATCATCTCCACTTGAACCAAAAAAAGCTCCACTTTGCACAAACCACTCCATTTGCATTTCCATACTTAAAATCATCAAACCACTTGTTCCAACACACCAAAAAACACATTATAAAGGTGTTCAAACACTCACATCCATAAAAAATAAGCCAAACCAGAAAGTCAACCTTTAATCCAAAACATCATTAACTTTCTGCATCTTCTATCCCAGAACTTCATTTTGACCACATTCAAGCACTTTTATCACACAAACTCAACCCTTAAACATGTCTTGAGGTGTCCATGACATCATTCCCCAACTGTGTGACCATTTTTACCAGAATCAAAATCCTCACATTCATCATTTTGCGAGAGAAATGTACCAACCTGTCCTAGGAATATTCAAGGGAGTTTAAGCATTGGAAAAGCTCCTAGGAGGTTCAAGGAAGCAATCCAAATCATTGAAATATTTCTGTAGCAGCTTGTTTGGATTTTCAAGTTTTGACTTCAAGAGGTAAGTGTCGCGGTGAGAATTGGATGTCAAGCTATTGATTAACTTGAATCGCAAATTATTATTCACCACCCGTCTTTAATTTATCCAAGGGAAGGGAAAAAGATCGAAATAACCCATGAGTGTGCAATGCAAAGTTAGAGAGATCTAAGATTCGGGGGTTGGTTATACTTAGGGAAGGTACTAGCATCCTAAGCATCTGTAGTACTCTACAGGAACCTCTTGTTTTATCGTGTTATTGTTGTTTTCTAAGGGTGATCTAGGGGTTTATTTCTAAGTAAGCTCGCCAAGAAGTCGCATCTTGTGCCTACGTATCCTGACGGGAATGGAACCAAAGCATTCGTAGTTCCCCTAAAAGGATGAGGAACTCTTGACCGTGGCCAAGGTTCTAGGGAGAGAAGGTTTGTTGATTGATTACAGGAGAAGAGACAAGTCATCATCTTAGGGAGAATACTCGACTTTAACAACCACAATCACATGGAAGATGGTCTTTGCTTCACTTTGAGAGAAGGGCTCCAACTCAGATTTAATCGAAAAGTATGCCACATACCTCTCTCAAGCGGAAAAGATTCTACATCTTTCTCGATTATGTCATGGGGTAGGATAATTATCTCTCCTACATGGATGAATCATGTCTAATTCTCTTGTGGGAGAATATGTTTTAACTATAAGTTATCTAAATAGCAATCTTAAGGGAAATCCTATCTTAAGATATAAGGGTATAACTTAGGCTGATCAACCTGAAAGAAATCAGGGATCAAGCAGGTGTAAGATGATGCAGGTGAAAAATGCAATGTGTATGACTATAAAGTCGAACATAAGTTCTTCCCTTGGATACAGACACATGTAAACATATCATTACAGGAAAACAGATAGAAACATTAAGCATTAAATCTATAATATTGATTTGAATAATCAACCTATAAGATACGCAAAAATAACCAACTTATAAATGGAGCTATTATAAGATATCAAGTCAAACACAGACAAAAGCTAAAAGTGCCCAAGCATGCAAAGGTAAGGAAGAGCTCGATATAAATCACGAATAAGCAACCATCAATCTTAAATCAGCACGAATAATTGTTTTAATAAATCAGTATGATCACTAAAAAATGGGGAAGACATGATAATTATAAGTATGATTAATTTTTTTTTATAAAGTAATTATGAAAGAGGACAAAGGTTAAATATAATTAATACTTAAAAGTGTATTTTAAAAAACCAATTTATTTGATTATAAAATAATTGAACAAGATAGGTTATAAAATTAATTAATAAAATGGTAACCATTTTAAATTAAAGAGTAATTCTTCTTTTAAAAGAAGAGGTTTTATTAAAATTAGAAAGAAAAGGGGATTAAAATAAAAAGAAAAGGGAACAAATCCAACGCTGCAAACTAAAAGAGGGTCCATCGTTGACCATGATAAAAAAACCCAATCCCTTCCGTCTGATCCAGATGAGTCAAACGGGTGACTCAGATCGGTGGTTGGAGCGAGGGTGCATGGTAAATAATGTGAACACGCATGCATGTGATCCGGGGGTAACATAAACTTAGAAAAAACAAGAGGGGAGCCCCCACTTCTTCTCCGAATTCTCTTTCTCTCTTCTAATCGCCATTCTCAAATGGAACAACACCAAGGGAACTTCGATGGCGGTCAGACATGATGGTGGAAAAAAACTCATGGCGGTGTTCAAGAATGTCCGACCTGGCCAAGCTAAGCTTCCCAACACGATAACAACCCTCAATTCTGCAACGTAAATACCCAATCCCCAAATTGAAAAAAACATAAACCCTAAACCCTCGAAAATCCCGAAATCAAATCTAAATATTCAAATGATTCACAGATAAGAAAACCTAAACGCAAAAAAAAGAAAGCAAAAGGAAAGACGGAGGAGCTACTACCTGAAGAAAATGAATCGACGCCGAGATAATTCATCTATTCCTTACTTACGAACAACTACTCTTCTTTTGTTGTGTATCTCTTTTGTGCACCTTTCTATTGTTGTAGTGATGTCGTGGTGATATTGTTGATCTTCCCTGTGTGTCTCTGAAAGGTCTTCGATAATAGCTACGCTGGTGAATTTGCTGAGTTTTTTTGTAAATATTTTTTTTCTTCTTTTTTTTCGTGTGTATGATGTGCCTTCCTTTTTTTTTCTGGGAATATTTCTTCCGTCTTTTATAGGCTTGAGTGAGTAAATGCCGTGGTTTCAAATTGAATGCGAAATAATGTTGTTGATTCTTGCTTGGGAAAGAAAATATTTCTGCTGTTAATTGTAATTTCGGGTGATTAATGAAGACGATTTCACGATTGAAGCTTGCAGTTTTAGTTGACATGTTTGATTGTGTTGGGGCTTTCTTGATGAAAATGATGATTTTGGGTGATTCTATTTCTATTCTCAAGTTTGGACTAATTTTGGAAAGAATTTTGATTTGCCATAAACATGTTTCAGAACTGTCATGAATGTCTTGATTGTGTGGTTTATGAGTTTCCTTTCTCCAGCTTGCCATGTTTGATTGTTTATGAAATTATGTTGGTCGGCTGTTTTGGAAATGTTTTATGATTCTTGCTTCCTTTTATCTTATCATGCGAATCATTGATGTTAATATTTGTCGAGGCTGATGCATTCCTACGAAGCTTAGTAGGAGCATAGGATCCTTCTGCCTCCATTCGTTTAAGGTCTACGCTACTGCTTTGCTTCTGCATTCTACCTGCAACTTTATTCTCTTCTTTTGGTGGAAAGATTGAAAATGAACCAAATAGGTCAGATAAACCGAGCCAAAATTCTGTCTGAAGTAGATCTTTTGAAAGAAGCTCCGTTGTTGGGAGAGCCATATCTACTTTGAATCTGTTGGTAAAGCTCGGTTGGCCCTGATAGCAGGATAGTCTGGCTTGCAGGAGCGAGATTCTGTGTATATTTAGAAACCTCGGCATGCTTTAAATGGACATAAGCGACACTTGTCAGCAACATCCGTGTCTCCTCAAGTTTCAATGCTCTCAATCCATTAACAGAATATGCTGTGCTAGCCTGGTAGATATCATTCACAACTAAATGAACAACACAATCACGACAAGAGTGCACAACCTCAGGTGTTGCTGCTTGAGCTTCTAGCTTTAATGTATCTCTTCCACTGAGTTTTCTCGTGGAATATACCCAGATTATGGGATAAGCTATTGCATGGAACAACTTGTTTTCCATCTTTGTATTCAAGCTCTTTGTTATTCATTAAATGGTAAGAAATTGCTGACGCAACAATCTATTCTATATAATTACTGAGAACCATTGTGTCTGCCATGCAGGTGGAATCCAGGTCATGACAATCTAGATTCCGTGATATGGTTCTCGTTATCCGAAATCTGTATCCTCTTCAAATTGATATTTCCAGCTGACAAGACGAGACTCATCTTCTGGTGAGTTGATTTCTATGTTGTAAAAGGAAGATGGGGCTAAGCATCGCATCCACTTCTTTGCATTCATTACCAGAATCTAAACCCTTGAGCCAAGAATTAATATTGGTCCAGATAATATCGTTAAAATTGTCTGGAAAAGTTTAAGTATCCTCTGTGATCTACACAACAGCTTATTAACATCCCATAGGTATAGAACGATGGGATATGTTTTTTTTGACACATAAAATAGAGCTTTATGAAGACCAACTGATCATGTGCTTCTCAGGTGATGAGCTTGTAGGATTACTTTGTGAACCAATGCTGCTAGCGACCGATGGTTGGTTGAGGTGAAATTTTGATGATTTCATTGATAAAGAAAAAGATGGAGTCGTCTTTGGAACCGGCAAAGAAGAATCATGAGGTCACCGATGATAAATACATGATGTATATTGTGACTTTAGGTGTAGGATGTGTGTATTTAAAAGCTGTAGCAAATGGTGTTCTAGTGATTATCATGGTGTAAAAGATGGTGTTAGCTCCTTGTTGAATGTTAATGATACCGAGGATTTGGAATGATGATTAGGAATTAGTTTTCAATGCCATTTTCCATAAGGACTATATTGGCTTGTTAGGATTCTAATAAAATTGGTATGCTTATTTTATGTGATGATCAAGATACATGACTTTAAAGAAAAATGGTGTAAACGAATTAGGAATGCAAAGTTGTTAATGCCAAGTCAAATAAGGTGTAGCGCCAACCAATTAATTTGATGACATTCTCTTCTAAAATGTGGCTTCTTGTAAAATTGACTTGCAAAGGATGTTCCTCACAAATGAACTTTACTTCAATACCCTCCACTAAGGGTTTAGGTACATGGCTAATAATTCGCTATAAAACTCCATGAGTAATCACATTCTCCTCAAGGTTTCTTAGTTGAAAGTACCACCAAGATTCAAGTTTTGGTTCCATGCTAGACGTACATGACAACCCTTAAATCATTTCTTATGTATTTGTATTTTGTACATTTGGGCAACCAATCCTCTTGATCACATGAAAATATTAACATACAACTTGAATGTTTGACCGGTGGTGAATAACACTAAACTCGAACTTGAATAAACCATTTCATCGTTTGAATCCCAGGAAACCCACTAGAACATCTTCCTTAACTAAAGTTATTAGAGTAAATGCTTAGGAACCTGACGTCGCTTGAAATCATTCTTGAATCCCTTAGCCTCGCCATTTTTGTCTTATGAGTTTTGATCTTCAACTTAATCACAAATTCAAGAATCAACCATACTCCACAATCCTTTAGGTGATGATGATTTAGCACAAGAACTATCCCTTGGAAATAAGGGCACAAATTGAAATGTAACTTGTTATGAAACTCTAGCCAGTCTTCACATGACCACGCTTAATATCAATGAAAAGAAAATTTCAAATCTTCAGGGTATACTCTGAGGTTTTCTGAGAAATACCAGGGAGAGTAATCTTAATGTTTGGTGAACCTTAATAAGAGAATACTCAAACCCTAAGTCTCTGACTGAGAAAAAGAGTGTGACCTCCACTTGAAATCTATGCATCTGCACAAACTGGTTAGTCACAATAATGATGCATACATAATCCTATATGTTTTAAAGATGTTATGCGAGACAATGCACAAAAAGGTGGGATCTTAGGGTCAAGAATTAGGGTGTGACAGTAAGTGCTCAAACTTAAACTCATTGAACCATGCCATATCTTGATGTACATTGAGCATGAAACTTGTTTGTCATGATATTTATGATGTATTCCAATAGTTAGTTGTTGCTATTCATAATTGTGTATGATTATGCCATAGAAATTGCAATTATGAGCTTTTCTTCTTGTTGCTATCGTGTTTTATTTTGGAAGAACTTTTATACAATTCCAAGTGCACCACTGAATTCCTTGTGAAAAAATACGCAAGTTTGGTTTTCATATCATTGAATTTCATTGAGGATACACAAAGATACAGGTGCTCTTGCAAACTGAAATATTGATGGTGATGGTGACCAACCATGGTGCCTTGGATGAGCTTCAGGTCATCTTAAGGCTCCTGTTTTTATTAAGGGAGGTGATACAATGGATATATCACCACCCTAGTGGTTTACCATGCATGCTATAGTACTCTCTTGCCTTTCCTGACCAGGGTTCAAGTCTCAACGACCGCCTTTTGCCTTTTTTTCTTTCTCATTCTTGAAGCTTGTTTCATATATATTTGACTGCTTCCATCTATTTTCACAATGCGCGCGTTGGTTGGATGGTTAGAGTTTTGGGTTGTGACCTAGCAGCGTGAGTTCAAACCTCCTTGAGTGCATTCCTTATATTTTTAATGCTTTGCTTTCATTTTTTCATTCACAAATTGATTTGATCATAACTCCTTTGATTTTTATCATTTTGACACCACTCTTTTTGCTAAATGCTCATAAGAATGTCTATTTTTTGTCTATGTTAATAAAAATTCCAAAAGAATTGTTTACTTGGTACTTGTGCATGTTCAAAGTATGTGAATTTTTAAGGGTTTCTTAGGTTTTCTTTTGATCCTTTTAATTGATTCCTTTGATTCTCCTTGCTTGTATGCAACCAACATACCTTGTATAAACCTCACTTGATATGTGAATTTGGATGCCCTTGTTGTTACATTATGGTTATTATTTTTTTTCAAGTTCATGTTCATATGTGAGTACATGTTTGAATATCCTAAAAAACTTGGTTGTAACCTTTCCCTTGACATGTGATTCTCTTCTATGATCAAATTATTTGAATGTGCTTCATGTCTCTCATACCTTTCCTTGAGTGTTCTTGAACACTTGTTTTTTTTTCTCTTTGAAATATGTTCAGTATGCATGAAACACCTTTGAGATGTTTCTCATCTTCCATGATTGAATTAATTGCCATGTTGGTTGTTACCTTCTTGTTTAAAATGATTCACCATAATTCACATGTTGTTGTCACACATGTCACACCCTTGTTCAAAGATGTTTTAGTTGTTACCTCTACTTGATGTGTATACATGCCTTAAATATTGTTATGATTTATGCATGTTGACCTTGAGTTTTGAACTTTGTCATGATAAGTAATGTTTTGACTTATGTATGATTCACTTGCACTTGTCATCTATGATGTTTGGTTTTGTAAGAACCTTATTTCATAACCATTTAGATGTTGTAACATCTATGTTTACCTTTGGTTGTAACCATTTGGTTTAATTCTAAAACTTCTGTGGATGAATACTTGGTTGTAACCTTGTTATTTACTTTGCTTAATGTTGTCACATGCTTGCTTTACTTTCTTTGTTGTTACCATGATTTTATATCTTCATCCTATTTGAGTGAATGTATATGTATGCTTAAGCTTTGATAATTTCCTGAAGTGATGTAGCTTGTTAGCTCTCATCCTACAAAAGAGTTGCCTCGTGTTCCTAAGTCCAAAGGAAAGTCTCTCTATTGACTCAATGTCATAGATAGCTCATTTATTCTCAAATCTCCCTTTGACCTTGTTAGAGTCATTAGGACTTTCAACTTAGCCTTAAGTTCGAACCCACCATCTTGACTTTGTTATAGTCAAAACCTGAGCATACCTTGTTAAGAATCCTATAACTTAGAGCATAGGACTAGAGTTTGTTAACTCTATATGCGTACCGTTGCTATGGGTACTCACTTTTCCCCTTTTGGCTTTGGTTGAAGTCAAACCCACAGTTAGTCTTTCAATTTAGACCTAGAGATTTTGTTAACTCTATATAAATATCATTGTTATGGATGTTTATTCCCCTTAAAACTTGACCATAGTCAAGAGTTCTCTCCCTAGTTAGGAGAACTACAGTTGCTCTGATTCCATCCTTGTAAGTATACGTAGGCACGAGATACAACGTCTTTGAGAGCATACTTAGTGCATATACCCCTAGGTCCTTGCCTTAACACATAACCATTAGCAGACAAACATTAATAAAAACACAACTACCAAACAAGAGGCTCCTGTAGATTACTACAAATACTTAGGGTGCTGATACCTTCCCTTAGTATAACCAACCCCCAATCTTTTAGCTTCATTGTTACATAGCATACTTAGGGTTTTCTTCGATCTTTACCCCTTTCTTTTGGATAAATTAAAGCTCGGTGGTGAATATTCAAAGATTTGTGGTTCAAGTTAATTAATAGCTTGATATTCTATTCTCACCGCAACAGAAATGACGACTTCAATGGAGACTTTTTTTTAGAGGGTTAAGCCCACTTTGTTTACAATTGTGTTTTGTTCATGTTTGTTTGCTTTATACGTGTATATTTGTGAATATCTGTATATTATACCTATTGTGTTGCATATGTGCATTGCGTTGCTACCTTGAGAGATGAGACAAGTCCTAGCCCGGACTTGAGTGTATACCTATGATAGGATTGTGGTATGATCAACAATTGACGGTTGGGAGTAGTGCTAACATGTTTGACATATGATGTAACCACACACAGCTGAGGCCCCTTTGGGATTGCTGATGGCGTATGAGTAGTCATACATTCATTACTTTTTCCTACCTGGAAGTCCGTGAAACTAAGGACCTCTTAGTTACCTGTTACACCCTAATTTTGACCTTGAACTGTCTGCCCTACATACCATAGCATTTTCATCATCTGTGCATCGTATCCATCATTCAGGTCATCTAACCATTATGCCTACAAAATACGTGTTTTCTTGTTGCCTAAGCTCAGGTCTTGCAAGGATCAGGCAAAATTATCAAGTCAAGTACGTGTGCAGTCTTGGGTGAAACTCAGTAGGACGTTTGACCTAACCTTGGT